TGTCTGTGCACTGCATATATGCAATGTCCAAAAGAGGACATCAGATTCCCCTGGGACCAGGGATAAGACAATTGTGAGCTGTTGTGCGGGTGCTGGAAATTAACCCTGGTCCTCTGAGAGCAGCCAGTGCTCTTAACAGCTGAGCAATCTCACCAGCCCATCAGTGATCTTTGTGTGTGTGTGTGGGGGGGGGGGGGCTCGAGACAGGGTTTCTCTGTAGCTTTGGAGGCTGTCCTGGAACTCATTCTGTAGACCATGCTGGCCTTGAACTCAGAGATCTGCCTGCCTCTGCCTCCAGAGTGCTGGGATTAAAGGCATGTGCCACCCACACCTGGTGTCAGTGATCATTTTTAAAAAGTAATTTTTAAAAAGAAATTAAGAAGTTTTTTGTGTGTAGGAGTGTTTCACCTGCATATATGTGTGCATGTGACATGTGAATGCCTGCTGCCCTCAGAGGTCAGAAGAGGGTGTCAAATTCCCTGGAACTGGAGTTACAGATGGTTGTGAACCACAAATGCTTTTAACTACAGAGCCATCTATCCAACCCCAGATGTTTGTTTTATTCTTCATTTCCTCCACACAATAGAATATTATACAAACACCAACATTGTTCAGAGTCTTGTACTCCAATTCATCTTAGGAGAGGCTCGTTCCAGGTCTGGTCCAAATGTCATTCTTTTCTAGGAGTATTCTCAAATTGCTTCAACTAATCCTCATATGCTTTTCCATCTTGCAATCTTTGACCATTGAGGTCCCAATGTGAGACTGGTCTGAATTAGCCTACGGTACAAGTGTGAACACCAACTGTAGCTTTTTTTTCCTCTCGAAACCAGTTAAATGCCATGTGGCAGAGGACTAGGCATCACTTCTGAGGTTCAGTGCCCTAGTGCTGCTGGGTCTCCCAGAGTTAGCTGCATGAAGCTGGTATGGCTTAGTCTCCCCCGCCCCAGTTTTGAGAAGACCATCTTTTACTATGACCACTGTGTCCTACCTTATAAAGAACATTGAAGATCCACGGCTCCAATTACAAAAAAGGCCACTATGAAGACACTTCCCAACATTCTCGGGGCACCACCAGTGAGGCAGACAGGGCCCATCACTGACCCCGACTTATACTGGAGCTGGTCAGGGTTTGTTTCTTTCAGGTGCTACGCTACTCCCCTGGCACAGCCACCCTCAGCTGTACCCCAGAGACACCAGTGTTGCCCCAAAGTTGGGGAGCAGGAGCGAGCCACTCTAGGAAGGTACTCTAACCTGGACAAATCCCAGCATGCCCTCAACCAGTCCTTTGGGGTCTCTTCCCTGCAGCTTCCTTGCCAAATACATTCACTCAAACAGCACTGCACTAGGACAGTATTTATTTTTCCTTGGCAAAAAGTCAAATGCTACATTTTTAAAACAGAAAAATCTCAAACAAACACATCACAGGAGACGGTCTGGCCACGGCACAAAGCATCCTACTCAAGATTTTTGTTTTTTAAATATACAAGTCAGTTTTAAAATGACAAGTTCTGTGAGAACTAAGAAATCTACAGCTTGTAGTTTAATAATAGAAAAAATTAAGACAAAAGATTCATAGCATCCAGCATTTTGCTTAATTTCCTGTTCATAGCACCTATTTATCTAGATTATAGGATGATTATTCTAAAACCTGTGGCATATGCTGTGTACTTACACTATCAAGGAGGCTTGCTGCTGCTTCCCTTCCCAGCAACCCCTGCCATTATGAGGACACTCTTTGACACAAGGAGAGAACGGGAAGAACTGGGAGCAATGAGACACGGGCAGCGGGACTCCATTTCTCAGGCCTGGGCACGGCTGGGACAGCGCTGCACGTTTCCGAGCAGGTGGGGTGGGAAAGTCCCTTTTGACATGATATGTGAAAGAGGACAACTGCCCTGACGCTCAGTGCCTGTAAGTTAAAAAGCCTCAGACTAAAAAAGTTCAAGAGAGGAACAAGCAAAGTACGAATCACATCTTGGCTGCCACATGCAGTGACGCTGTCACAGCCACCCTGCCGCTTCCCCAGGTACGAGCCAACAGAGCAGGAGGGTGACTTCCAATGCTAAGCTCCACTGTACTGAGAAAACGGATCTCCCCCACACAAAGTCCTCACTACAGATCACACCTTCCTGGACAGAACCAATTAGAAAATACCAGCAAAACCCAAGAGCAGAATAGTTCCTCCTAGAAGTCCTAGGAGACTATGAATGGCAACCATGTCGAGCTCGGCCAGATCAGACCCGAGCAGAGGCAGGAGACTGGGCAGAGGATACTCTTTACCTAAAGCAGGAAGCCTTCTGCAGTCCCCAAAGAGGCACCTGAGGTTTAGCCAAGTGGCCTGGGCTAAACAGACCAGAGGTTAGGAGTAGAAGTAACACACACACAGGCATTCTTAATGGGGATACACAGGAAGGACAGGCAGGGGCGGATCACTTTGGAATCCTGGCATGCAGCCGACCCTCCTGCTCCAAGTCTGCTACTCTAACTCAAGGGTTTTCCTGGTGGACTTGTTTCTCTATGTTTTCACTTCCTACAATGTCAGACTTTTAAAAAGATACAGGCTAGTCCCAAAGCTAGACTCTGAGTAGAACTGTTTCCTTCATAAATACTTTATACAGATAACCCTCACGCTGAGTAGTATCAGTGACACAGTACCATCAGGCACACAGGTTCACACGCACACACGCTCACGGCTCCCAAACTTTCACGGAAAGTCTGACAGCTACCACACAGTTATAAGGGGCCCTACCTCTCAAGTGAAGGAAGGGTGAGGATGACCTTTCATTTCAGTGTAAAGAAGCCAGAGAAAGGAGATCTGTATCAGTCAAGGGAAAAACAAAAAGGGGGACTTATAACAATGTTCGGTGAGAAAGCTGGGAGTATGTGTGTAAAATTCTGATTACTGAAAGGGGAAACAACAAAAACATCTACCAAACTAATGAAAAACCTGCCGGTGGTAGTGGTGGCGCCTGCCTTTAATCCCAGCCCTCGGGAGGCAGAGGCAGGCGGATCTCTGTGAGTTCGAGGCCAGCCTAGTCTACAAGATCGAGTTCCAGGACAGCCTCCAAAGTCACAGAGAAACCCTGTCTCGAAAAACCAAAAAAAACAAAAAACAAAAAACAAAAACAAGAACAAAAAACCAAAAACTAATGAAAAACCCAAAGCACCAAACCACTAACCAACCAAAGAAAAGCCCCACCTTTTGGATTTCTGCACAGCTTCCTCCTAGTAACTGCCCGAGCCACATGCACTACACAGGAAAGCTTCCACAGTGGGGGAATCAAAAGACCAAACAAGGAAACGGAGGGTGGAAGTTAGTGTAAATCTGCATTTTTGGGAGAAAGTTAGTTGTCATTAACTCCACAGTCCAGCATAGTTTCCATGGAGCCCAGAAGGGAGGGGACCTCCTGCCACAAAGAGCTTCGTTCCGGACGAGTCGTAGCAGTGGGTGTAAACAGCATTGGGGAAGAAGTCAATGTCCGAAAAGTAATTCCTCCAGGTTTCATCATGGTTCTGTGGGAAGAGAAGGAGACCGTTAGCATCAGTAGCAGAGAGCAGGCAGGACAGAATGCCTTCCGGTCTCTGCCTGAGGAAGGCTCCATACCTACCACCTGATGTCACAGGACTATGACATTGTGTCATTTTCCCAACTAAACAGGGTAAAGAATTATTTCACTGAAAGCAAGTCTTCACCTTCAGCTTTTCAGAAGCAAACTTGTCAATGACAACTCACTGGCAGCAACAACAGAAGTTCCTTACCCTTCCTGCTGTTGTCACTTGGAGAAAATCTTAAGGCACCAGCATATTTTAAGGTGTCTTTCACTTTTGTGTTGCAATCCTCCTTCAGTTTATAGAATACTGAGATTACAAGCATTTACCACCACTGCCAACCTCTTTCTCCCCAAAGGACAAGTCAGGGGAGAGCTTTTCTTTGCTCTAAGGAATGTCAGCAGCAAGAAAGTGAGAGAGGAGGGCGAGCCGAGGGAAGACAGTTTCCCTCCCTGTCAAGCAACCATTATCTCAGGTTGGAGCTTACTTACCAGCCAGCCCTTGCCAGTAGTTAGTTTCAGATTCTCCCCTGTGAGCCTGGGCTTGGACCCATAACAAGCTGAGAGCCTCTCTTCCAGAAATCTCTGCGCTCGGATGTCATAGAAGAGCAGGGAGCCCTGCCCTGTGCCCACAGTGATAATGTGTTCATAGAAGCTCACTGATCGGATTCCTGAGAGAGAAAAGCACATAGCAATCACAGGGATAGTACAACCCAGACACCAGACAGAACTATGCCAATGGCTACACAGAGCTCATGGTGACTAACAGGACTCTCTGCTAGTAAGCCAGATTACTGTTTTCTGAAATTCTCTGTGTGTCACAGCCTTGAGTAGCACTGGAGTCATTGTTCATAGCTATCAGTTATTGTCCATCACACGTTACTTACACTGCAGCTCACTAGTCTCTTCATATTACCAGCATGGCCCTACAGGAAGTATTTGGTGCTATGTTTTTTATGGCAAGTTACCAACTACTTTGGATTAAAGGGAAATACATCTAGCCGGGCGTTGGTGGCGCACGCCTTTAATCCCAGCACTTGGGAGGCAGAGGCAGGCGGATCTCTGTGAGTTCGAGGCCAGCCTGGTCTACAGAGCGAGTTCCAGGACAGCCTCCAAAGCCACAGAGAAACCCTGTCTCGAAAAAAAAAAAAAAAAAAAAAAAAAAAAGGGAAATACATCTGCTGCATCTATAGATTAAGTAAATACATGGGATACATGTGTCTCTCTTGGCATCTGTGTGGAGCTAGGGACCTTTGTGAACTAGGATTTCCTTATGTAAGCTACCTCCATTATTAGTAACCAAACCCTTTAAAAGCTAGGAATGGCAGATCTCTGTGAGGTGAGACCGCCCTGGTCTACAAGAGCTAGTTCCAGAACAGCCTCAAAAGTCACAGAGAAAACCTGTCTCAAAAAACCAAAAAACAAACAACAAAAAAGTACTGAGCATAGGTGCTTGCTTCGGTAGCACGTATACTAAAATTGGAACCACACAGAGATTAGCGTGGCCTCTGCATAAGGATGAGATGCAAATTCATGAAGCGTTCAATATTACAAAACAAAACAAAAAACTGGCCATGGTGGTGTTTTCCTTTAATTCCAGTACAGGGGAGGAGGAGGGCAACAGACCTCTGTGAATTCAAGGCCAGCCTAGTCGACAGAGCAAACTCCAGGCTAGCCAAGGATGCTAGTGAGACCTTGTCTCAAAAACAAAGCAATATAACAATAATGATATAATAAATAAAACTTTTCATTGCACACCATCCCAGCTAAATCTTTGTTGTTATTGTTTGTTTTCGAGACAGGGTTTCTCTGTGGCTTTGGAGGCTGTCCTGGAACTCACTTTGTAGACCAGGCTGGCCTCGAACTCACAGAGATCCGCCTGCCTCTGCCTCCCGAGTGCTGGGATTAAAGGCATGCGCCACCAATGCCCGGCCTAAATTTATACATCTTAACTACTTAAAAATAAGTCTTTGACTTCCAATTAGCATCATGGTACCCACCTTCCCCAACAATAAACAGAAAAACAAAAACAGCTTTTGTAGCATCTACACAGAAATAACACTATTTGGAAAAGAGGCTAAATTGTTCCTTTTTCCCACTGTTTCTTTTTGTTTGTTATTTGTTTTTCAAAACAGTTTCTCTATGCAGCCCTGGCTGTTCTGGAACTCACTTTGTAGACCAGGCTGTCCTAGTGCTCAAGCAGTTTTGCCTGATTTTGCCTCCTAAATGCTGGGAATAAACAGGTCCACCGGGGCTGGAGAAATGGCTCAGCAGTTAAGAGAATTGGCTACTCTCCCAGACGACCCGTGTTGAATTCCCAGCACTCACAAGATTGCTCCAAACTGTCTATAACTCCAGTTCCAGAGGATCCAAGACTCTTACAAAGATACACATGCAGCCAGGCGGTGGTGGCGCACGCCTTTAATCCCAGCACTCGGGAGGCAGAGGCAGGCGGATCTCTGTGAGTTCGAGGCCAGGCTGGACCGACAGCCTCCAAAACAATAGAGAGAAACCCTGTCTCGTAAAAACCAAAAAAAAAAAAAGATACACATGCAGTCAAAACATCAATGCACATAAAAAAAGTGTGCACCACCTCTTTGGTTTCTACGTGTGTAAATATGTGCATATGAGTGCTGCTGGCCATGGAAGCCAGAAGAGGGTGACAGATCCCCTGGAAGAACAGTAAGTAGTCTTTTTTTTTTTTTCTTTGGTTTTTTTCGAGACAGGGTTTCTCTGTATTGTTTTGGAGGCTGTCCTGGAACTCGCTCTGTAGACCAGGCTGGCCTCGAACTCACAGAGATCCACCTGCCTCTGCCTCCCGAGTGCTGGGATTAAAGGCGTGCGCCACCAACGCCCGGCCAGTAAGTAGTCTTAATCATCTGCTTTCCACGGATTCTTGGTGAGAGGAAGAGTTCTTAGAAAAAAGTATTTGAATCCTTAATGTAGTACCAGCACAAGTCTCTTCCACTAAACAAAGTGAGTGATGGCTTAGAATACGCTATGTGAATAGAAGCTGGGGTCTATTGATACAGCTCAGAAGCAGAGGAGTTCAAACAAGCACAGAGCCCTGAGTTTACTCCCCAGCAACAATCCAGTGTTAGGTGCTGAGACCTTGCACCCACTGATCAGAACTAAAACAAGTACTTTCTTCAGCTTCTTGAGGTGAAGCTGTCTGCCCCTTACTACGTATTTATCATCACATCCAAAAGTGACCTCATAGTCTTCTAACTCCTCCCCCAGTGTCCGCTCAGTACATAAGGATTTTATCTCCTCACAGTGGATCTACCAAAGGTTTCTGCAGCCTGGACATTATGTTGCCTCAAGCATGTAATTAAGTTCCTCTCTTCTGTCACCAGATGCTTCTACAAGCTACACACTGTTCTTGTTTGGAAGCCAAAGAAGAAACAAAAGGTGAAAACCCTTTTGTTTTGTAATGTAGCAGTAAGCCTGAAGGAGCACACAGGGACTTACCACTGCCTCGCTCCCTGGAGCAGACAGACTTGACGTTGGATGATGGCTGCCGTGGATCCAAGAATGAGACATGTGCTTGAGAGCCCACAGCATACACTGACCATTCACTACCATACGCCAGACACACATTCTCTCGGCAATATGGCAATTTGGTGGAAAAGAGCTGAAAGAGACACATCCGTAACCAGCATAAAATGGGCACTCTTGTGCTCCTCCCTCTGTGGCTTCCGTCACACATGAATTACCTACCTAAGCCAGGGACAGGACAAAGGAAATGAAGTAACTTCTGGGTCAGGGAAAAGGTAAGGCTGGAACTGAATAATCAGAATGCCAGGAAAAGCCAAGAGCTGTAGTTTCTCGCCAGGAACAAGTCCAGGGCACTAAAGACTAAGTCTCACCCTGTTCATTCTACAAGATGACCACCACTCCTTGTTGCTCTTCAGATAAGGACTCATTTCTAACTACCTTCAGCCAATTTCCCAAAGAAATGAGAATTGTACACCAGAGACAGTATACTGCCTAGGACTGACTCTATCCTAGCTAATCTGAGTCAGCTTGCATCTTTGACCCTGTGAACTAGCAGTCTCTGCCTGCTATCTATAAGACACTATGTAGGGCTGCTGTGATATAATGGAACTATCCATTCCCAGAGCTTTGCTTTCTCTTTAGAAGAAGCTAGTCACAGCTGGGCGGTGTTGGTACATGCCTTTAATCCCAGCACTCGGGAGGCAGAGGCAGGCGGATCTCTGTGAGTTCGAGGCTGGGCTGGACCGACAGCCTCCAAAAACAAAACAGAGAAACCCTGTCTCGTAAAACAAAAAACAAAAAACAAAAAAAAAAAAAAAAGAAAAAGCTAGTCACAGATATAACTACAAGCAGCACAGACAAGACATGGGCTAATGACCCACATATACACTTTATTGTACCAAAAAGTTGCTAGCAGGTATTATTGATAAATCTATTTTCTCCTAAGTTATGTTATTGCAATCTTGGGTCTTTTTTAAAGAGACTTTCGTGTCTGTGACTCTAGCACTGAAGGCTGAGAGAGAACCCCGAGTTTGAGACAAGCCAGGGCTACCTAATGAGATAATCTTTTAAGAAAGAAAAACAAAACAAACAAACAAAAAAACACATTTAAATGCTGGGTGGTGGTATCACAAGCCTTTAATCCCAGTACTTGGGAGGCAGAGGCAGGCGGATCTCTGAGTTCGGGGCCAGTCTGGTCTACAGACTGAGTTCCAGGACAGCCAGGGCTACGCAGAGAAACCCTGTCTTAAAACATAATAAAGTCCTTTTCTTGCTTAAGCATGGTAGTAGCTTTCAGTTTTTCCAGTCTTTGAGAGGTATTTTACAAGGGAGAAGATCCCAATTTTAAGACCAGACTGGGCTACATTAGAGATCATGTTTCAAAAACAAACATAAAAGATACGCAGATTTTTCCTCAAGAGAAGGAAGATTTACAACTTCCTGTACTATGCAATTCTATTCCCAGACCTTGGGATAATGATGTTTTGGACAAATCCAACAGGACTCTGGGAGAATGACAGTGTCTAAACCTATGATAAATTATACAAAACTACTAAGTCATGTTCACACCTTAGACAATGTATTTTCAGCCTTCCAGAGATGAAAGTAGCCATCCAGTGATACTGCTCCCAACTCCTACAAAAGCAAAGAAAAGGAAGTTATAATATGATGTGCAGCAAACTAAAGTACCAGAACACACAGGGGAAGTCAGGCAGTGGTGGCGCATGCCTTTAATCCCAGCACTTGGGAGGCAGAGGCAGGCGGATCTTTGAGTTCAGGGCCAGCCTGGTCTACAGAGTGAGTTCCAGGACAGTCAGAGCTGTTACAGAGAGAAACCCTGCCTCAAAAACAACAACAACAACAACAACAAAAACAAACAACAACAAAAACCATGCAGGGGAAGAACTCGAGGGATGGGTTCTCTTGTCCTCCACTTCTAACCCAGTCATCAAGGATGCTTTCACCTCACCCCACAGACTACAGCGGGCAGTGTATTCAATTCCACAAAACAAGTGTAGCCTCTATCAATCACATGGACACACATCTGTGGGTGAAAATGTCCTTCCTATGTCACTGAGTACCCTGACATCCTTAAGACTGTCAGAGCAGAGCTCAAAGTGAAAGGCTGTTTTTCTCATTCCCAATGTGGGAGCTGTGGGTGCAGAGAGGAACCACTTTCTGGAACCATCTTTCAAATCATGGTACATACACCCATGCGACATGTGCAGGCCACACATACACACCCATGCACAGGTGCAGGCCACACACACACACACACACACATGCACACATGCAGGCCACACACACACACACACACCCATGCACATGTGCAGACCACACACACACCAATGCACAGGTGCAGGCCACAAATACACACCCAATGCACATGTGCAGGCCACACACACACACACCTATGCACATGTGCAGGCCACACACACACACACCCATGCACATGTACAGACCACACACACACCCATGCACAGGTGTAGGCCACACACACACCCATGCACAGGTGCAGGCCACACACACACACACACACACCCATGCACATGTGCAGGCCACACACACACCCATGCACATGTGCAGGCCACACACACACCCATGCACATGTGCAGACCACACACACACACACACACCCATGCACAGGTGCAGGCCACACACACACACACACACCCATGCACAGGTGTAGGCCACACACATACACACCCATGCACAGGTGTAGGCCACACACATACACACCCATGCACAGGTGCAGGCCACACACACACACACACACCCATGCACATGTGCAGGCCACACACACACACACACACACACCCATGCACAGGTGTAGGCCACACACACACACACACACACACACCCATGCACAGGTGCAGGCCACACACACACACACACACCCATGCACAGGTGTAGGCCACACACACACACACCCATGCACAGGTGCAGGCCACACACACACACACACACCCATGCACAGGTGCAGGCCACACACACACACACACACACACACACCCATGCACAGGTGCAGGCCACACACACCCATGCACACATGCAG